CCTCCACCCCGCCGTTCCTCCCTTCCTCCTCCTCCTCCTCCTCCGCTACCTCGGTGAGGCGCTTCTCCAGCAGCCAGGCAGCATGGCGGCCGTGGAGACACGGGTGTGCGAGACGGACGGCTGCAGCAGCGAGGCCAAGCTCCAGTGCCCCACCTGCATCAAGCTGGGCATCCAGGGCTCGTACTTCTGCTCTCAGGTAGACGCCCGCTTGGCCCCGGCCCGGCGGCGGCGGACCCTTCCCCTTCCCTCTCCGCCAGCGCTCGCGGCCGGTCTGGACGCGCCGCTCCTCGTCCCCGGCCGGGCGCTCCTGCTGCGCGTCCTCCTCCCCCGATTCGCGGCGCCGGCGCCCACCTCCCGCTGCCGGGGAGCCTGGGCCCTGCGGGACTAGGGGCGCGTGAGGGGGCGGGGGCGTGATCTGTCGCGGCCATGTGGGGTGGAAGCGGAAGCGGACTTGTCCCGGGTCGCCCGGCCGCCCTGGGGCGCCGCGTTTAGCGGTCGGTTCCCGCCGCGCGTATTCCGCGGGGGCAAGGGCTCCCAGGTGTGCGGGCGACTCCGGACAGGTGGGGACGCCTGGGGAAGGGGACAGCCGTGGCCGTGAGACAGTCGCCGCCGCTGCCGCAGCTCCCGGCAGGGCTCTTGCCTTGGATCGCTGGGGGCCCCGGGGCCGGTAGTCGCTCTCGTCTCTGCGGGATTGGGGTTCGGAAGAGACCCTCTGGGCTTTGAGGAGTGGGTCGCGTGGGGACGGTGGGAGTCACAGGGAGGAGGAAGGCTGGTTCCAACCCCGCCTCCGTCCTTGTGTTTTAACTACCGCGTTTTGACACTTAAGCAACTTTGGGGGTGGGGATGGAGAGGGGTCTTTGTAACTTATTATTTTCCTTTGGCATCCAAATTTATTAATTTAGAAAACCATGAGGTAACGGTATGAGTCACCTATTGCATTTACTGAATTTCCCATTGAGTGAAAAAGACAGTCCCATTAAGTGTTAAGGCTTTAAGGCCGTAGTGATTTCAGTAAGTTTTGTGCAGTGAAGCAAACCCAGCATTGAATGGGGTCCTGACTGAAACGTGTGCTCGTGTTTATGTTTACTGAAAAGAACTAGTGTTCTGGCTGCATTTCGACGCTCAGAATTTTGGCATAGCGGCAATGGTGTGGCTTTTAGTTACAGTCCAGGTTTGTTGAAGAGACACGTGAATATTCAAGTATTAAATTGGTAGTGACCTGGGGGTGGGGGGAGAAGAGCATGAACATAAAAGTCTGAAGGCCAAGTCAGGACCCTGCCCTTGCCAATTACTGTGCTATCTTGAACTAGTCAAGTTACCTAACCTTTAGAGTTCCAGTTCCACCACTGTACAGAGGGGAGGATGATGTTTTACTTACATATTTCACAAGGTTGTTCTGAGCCCAAATTATCCAATGAATGTGAAGTGTTGGTAAAAGTCCAAGGCATATTTTTAAAGGCTGCCAGTAGGATGTAACACTGCCATATGCTAAAATATCATAAGAACAATAAAGACAAATAATATATTTTAAGTATATAAACATAAAGATGTATGTAAAATAAACATGTAAATAAAATCCAAAACACTTGCAGATAAGCCATTGTAAGAGATCCTAGCTATGTTGTATAGGTCTTGTTTTTAGATAGGATATGATCCTTGACCTTGTTAGTATCATTTGGAAAAAGTTGCACATGGAGAAGTGTTTCTCATTCTAAAAATAGCAGTGGGACTGCTCAGCATACTAAACCTGGTATGAGTCCTTTTGTTTCTTTAATTTTCAAATTCTAATTTGTTGAGGTCTGTGTGGGACCTGGACTTAAAAAAAAACAACATAGTTTCCTTTTGGAAATTGTGTACCATTTGAATAGAATAATGTGGTTTACATTGTGTTTAAGATTAGGTAGGAATTGTAATGCTAAATGAATTAATAAGTACAGACATTTATCTGCTGAGGTTTAAAAAAGACACTATGAAACCATATTCATCAAGCATAGGCGATATTCTCTTAGGCATGGTATTATTCAGTAGAAAGAACATTGGCTCTTTGGGGTCTGTGGAAAAATTCCAATACCTTTGTGAAAACATGCAGGGTTCATTTAGTACTCTAGAATTGGAGTTATTTAATGCTGGATTCTACAAGGTATGTTTCTGGTACTATTGCTATGCTTGTAGTCAAACATATTCCAAGTTGTTCCCACACTGTCTCTCTCTGTTGCTATTACTTACCTCCTAGGGTCAGTTTTAAAATTTTTTCACCAAGTCAGTTGTAGTGGTCTCTTAATGTATTTCCCTAGTGTACTGCCCCATGTGCAAACAAACACTACCCCCCCACACACCCACACAAAAACAACCAGACAAAACCTTTTCTACAGAAGTTATTTTCCCCTAGCATAGCACAGTCTGATTATGCTTACCTTCCACCCATAACATGTAGAGTTACCATCACTTGCAGGATGCTAGCCCCATAATCAGGGCATCTCTTCTGAGTTCAGCTTTATTCTCTTGCTCTAACCAGAGCTGTACTTGTACTCTTTCCTTCACCCAAAATGTCACCTGTCTTCTGAAATCACAGCTATTCTCAGCCCCAGCTTGAGCCTTGGGTCAAATCACTAACTTTTCCTAAGCCAGTTTCCACATCTGTGATGAAACTAGGGCTTTTCCTTGCCACATCTCTGATCATCTTCACTGGGAGTGGTCTGTCTTCTTTCTACTCCTTCCTCCTCTGGTCCCCAAGCCTCGCTGTCTGGCCAGCTTGTCTTTGGGAACAAAACTGAGAACAAAACTATAAGAAGCCATCATTGAAGACAGCCTTCCCCCGGTACTCTTCATAGCACCTTGTTTATATCCTTTATAATGTATACAAACTAGTTATCTTATTTGCTTTCTCATTTATCTGTCTTTCAATCTCTGATTGAGGTGAGCTTCATGAATAAAGCTATCTTGTTCATGGCCCTATCGTCGTTTTTCAGCACAATGCTTTGTATGCCATAGGTGGTCAATAAATTTTTTTTATGTGTGCTAATAGGTACATTTATTGAAAACATTAAGAATGTTCACTATTTTGACCTAGGAATTTGAATTCTAGCAAAATAAAGAAAATTTCAGGGATGAGCACAGACTTGTTGCCATACGGCTGATATGCCTCTGATAGAGTTCCTGACAGGTTGACCTTCTATGTTGTTGGCCTCTCTGTGACGTCAAGAAGTGACACAGCATAACTTGAATCTGAAAATGTTGGCGGAATACCAATATACTGATGTGGGATCATCCCTCAGTTTCTTTTCTTTTTCTGTTCAAAGAACCAGGATAGTGAAATCTATATTTTGGTAAACATTTTGGAAGATGATTTCTCTTTAATTAAAAAAATTTGTTTACTACTTAATATTTTTAGTATTTGTTTTACAGTAAAACAGAGGAAGGTACAGGCATTTCTCATATATTTCTTGGCCCCAAACAGGCATAACCTCCTCCATTATCAATATCACTCACCAGAATGGTACAGTTTTTACCAAGGATGAACCTACATTGACACATCATAATCACTCCAAATCCATAGTCTGCCTTTAGGATTCATTTTCTTTTCTTTTTTTAAATATGTCTTTATTGATTTCAGAGAGAGGAAGGGAAAGGGAGAGAAAGAGATAGAAACATCAATGATGTGGGAGTCATTGATCAGCTACCTCTTGCATGCCCCTTACTGGGGTCAGAGCCCGAAACCCGGGTATGTGCCCTGACTGGGAATCGAACCATGATCTCCTGGATCATAGGTCGATGCTCAACCACTGATCCACACCTGCCAAGCTGTATATCTTTGGTGAGGCCTTTATCAAGGTCCATAACATTTTTAAAGTGGAAATAAATGTTTGAATCAATGAATAACTATATCAAAAGGCAGAGTAGAGAGGTGGACTGCTGCATTTGAATCATGACTCCATCACTTACTAGCTGTGTGACTGGGCAGATAATTTAATCTCTCTGTTTTCTGTTACATTCTTTCAAAATAGGGCCTTTTATAGTACTTAGCTCAGGGTTTTGGTTAAGACTAAATACCAAGTACATGTAAAACACTTAGCACATCAGTAAATGTAATCAGTGTTAGCTCTTTTTATTATACTGTGTTTTATGCTTAAGAAGGTAGATATTTTTATCTGAGATGCTTAATTTTAAGGAAAGTTTGCTTCTTTAAATGAGTAAAACCTGTTTTACTTGAAAATTCAGCTTTTCAGGGGTTCCTGATTGATGATTTTTTTTTATGGAAGTGTTCATTCTTATTTAATAGTAGTTTACTAGTAGTTTAGTAGTTTACTCTTAGTCCCTAGGAATTTATAACAATTTTTTGAGGTTGGAGGCTGTGCTTTACTCATTTTTGTATTTCCCTTAAGTGCCTTGCACACAGTAGGCAAGGCACTTAGTTCATTAAATGAAAGGAAAGAGGTTGGTGGGCCTGAGAAGGAAAGCATAGAGCATTCAGGCCTTTAGGCTATAGCCCAGGACAGATCTATCATGTCTCCAGTTAAAGGATCAGCTGAGAAAGATCTGAGTTATAAGGCATTAGAACTTAAAAGGTAGTATAGTTTAAGTAGGAGACTGGGTTTGGAGTCTGACCTGGGTTTAAATCTTTGCTTCCATGTCCACAGGTGATTCATGTCCTGATTTTGTAAGAGAGGCGAATGGTGCACCCTCTTCATGGAGTTGAGAGGAAGGTGAATAGGAGAGCATGCAAAGTGTTTAGCACAGTGTTCAGTAAATGGTTTTTTTATGCATATAGCCTCATGCCTGATGCTATTACAGTCAGTTAAAAGGAAGGTTTAAGTGTTTAAAGAGAAGTATTGTTTATGAACATTTTGAACAAATTCTTGAAATAGACTCTTTCAAAGACACAGTAGCGAGGTAAGGGGGTTATTTGGGCGTTCAGGAAGACAGTGAGTGGCTGGGCATCTTGGAGGAGGAACTGCCCTTCTAATATGTAGCATCTTTGAAATGCAACCCTGTCCTCTGATACTTTTTTCCTTTAGTAACAAAGTTTCTGACAATGCAGTGTTTCTGGAACTCATCTTCATCGTGGAAGGAGATATTAACCATATTATGCTTTTTTATTATTGGAACTTTCTTTAAATTTCTCACATTACTCACCACCCCTACATATTGCTGTAAGTTAAATGAGGTACAAGTGTTGTAGCTTCTTGTAAACCAAAG